AACCAAAGGACCGAGGAAGAGAACGTGTCAAGAGGCCGCCGATGGTTTTGGATCCATTGGATCCGTGCCCGCGGCCTTGAGGCGACAGCGAAGAGGTGTTGAACGGCCCACCGCAAGTGCTTGAAGTGCTGGAAGTATTAAGTTCCAATGGGGAGGATGACAGAACGACGGTGAGAAAGCGGAAGTCATGTCTGCTTCAGGTAGATCAGCCCTCCCGAATTAAGCAGAAGTCAGTCACAGATTTGGGGGAATGAGCTGCTTTTCTTGTCTGGAGCCCCCCAGTTTAGGTAGGATCATGTTCTGTGGAAACCGGGTAGAATAGCGTTTTGAGATTTGACTTTGTACTGGTGCTGCTGTAGGTCCGGATTTCGAAGAACTCGCAACTCGGGTGTCAACTTGAGAGGTTCCACCCTGTGCGCGTTGAACAGAGAATCGACATGGCATGGAAGCACAGCTGGAGCGGGCCCGCCCCGAGTGAGTGTGCAGACAACAACTCGCAAACGAAGCGGTGTCCTTACTTTGGTGCATTTTGCTTGCATGTTAGGACTGGGCTTTCCATTAAGCCACTAAGAGTTAACCTTTTAGCAAAGGAGCGGAACGCAACCAAGCTATGTTGATAGAAGCCCAATTGAAGTCACTTTCTTTAGTGTATAAAAATATGATAACCAAGGGTACTTGGAAGTGACATGACACATGTTTATACATGCCCCAGGATGATAAAACCCGTCCCATTAGGGGGATGTTCCCTCGAAAAGTGATTCAATCCTCACTAAAAGGATTGGGACACCGGGCCCCCTAGTACTCAACCAGGTTCCCCCCCCAAAAAAAATCAACCGGGTTTATTCATCCCGGGTTATCATTATGCTCAGGTGGGCAACCGCGCCCGCTGCAGCTTGCGGCCCTGGGACCTGGGCGCCTTCCTGGCGCTCGGCGGCTCCGTGGCGGTGCTGGACGTCGCCTGGGGCCCCCGGGTCTCGTAGCCGGCGGTTTGGGCTCGCTCGGTGTCCCCCCATATCCCTTCCCTCCCTGAAAGGGGGCCTGGCGCCAGAAAAGGGGAAGAAGGGCAAGAACCTGCACATTTTGTTTTTTGAGCTCCTTTGCTTCCGTTTTGGGATGTTTGAAGCGTCACCTTTTGGGACTTTAAAGGAACTCTGTTCTCTGTTTGGCCACTTCCCCACCTGGCCCCGCGGGGACTGGTGCGAGGTGAGCTTGGCGGGGATTTTGGAGGCAACCGGCCCGGAGCCTCAGCAGCCGAGGGGGGCTGAGAGGGGTCCCGGACACCCACGGAACCCTCCCAACGTTGCCATGGGACCAGAGGGTTACCAGTAAGCCAGATCTTGGAAAGGTTTTGCTTGTCACCGCAGCCAATGTACAATGACCAGATGAAGGGTGCGCACCATCTTCTGGAGGTTTAGGCCGACTCCGCATCGACCGTGCCGTTTGACGGAGACCTTGATGGAATGAACGCTTTGGGCTTGAGCTTGCAAGCTGATCTTGTCCAAAGCCAAATCGAGTATGTTTAGCGCAGCTAGCCAAAACGCGGGTGCAAGCCAGTGCAGGTGTTTCACATTGTAAGCACTTTGGCATCAACAAAGGTTCAACCCCGGTGTTGCAAGTTGCAGGTGCAGTAGGCCATTGCCATGAATCAGGCTGCTCTTTCCTTTCCCAGACGGGCTGGTCCCCGTTTCTGAACACCACCCGCCGCGTTCCGGAAAACCAGCAACCAGCTCAGTTGGCCAAAAGGAGGGGGCAGCCGGGAGACGGGTCCAGTGCGTCCAGTTAAAGAAACCACACGTCAGGCTACTCCTCGTTGGTGCTCTGCATGAGTGGTTGCCGCCAAGCAGCTAATCAGGGCTTGAGGTGAAGGACTACGGGGTTCTTGCCTTCAGGGTTTCCCTAATTACATGCATGGTAGCTGGACGCGCGCTGGAGGGCTCCAGACATCCCAAGTCGTGGGCACATTGAGGCTTTCAAGCCCCTTCAGCCAGGCTGCGAAGGGGGGCTTGAGCCAGAGGGAAGGGGCCGGATGTTTGGTGGTTCCGTATCGGAATCTTATGGTGAGGCGGTCCGAGGAACTCCAAACGATCAGGGGCAGCCTGTAATTTGCCTTGGTTTGCCATTTGCGTCGGTTTGTGCTCCCCCTTGCCTCTTCCTGTCCAGGGTCAAAGCAGGCCTTTTGGCAACGGGCCCGCACAGGCGGGTATCAACTTTCGCTGGGGTACATATTTTGTTTCGGACCTCGCCGGGCTATTTTACAGAAAGACCCTTTTTCTATGCTGTCTTGCTTCCCAAGAAATCCCGCTTCACGGAGGCAAGGGAAAGGGCAGCGAGTCCCGCTATGTTTGTTTGCCAGCCTCCAACTTTGACACGCCCACACACACACACACATGCGTATCTTAGTCGCGTTGGGTTGGATCTTAAACCTTCATAAACCTATTAAACCTCTTTGCATCATGAGGTGTTTTCCCGCTAGCCAACACACCGTTCAACACGTTTCCGCGCGCATCTTTTTTTGGCCACCAAGATATGTACGACATGTGCCGTAAATATTGCAAGTCAACCAAGCGCAGTCAACCGACAGTAAACTCCGGGGTCCTCCACCCATAACCTGCCGTGTCCTCCCCCCCCACCCCCCTCCTCCCACCCCGCCCCGCCCCCGCCCCCGAGCCTCGAGGGCGCCCTGCCAGCGGGTGGCCTTCAGCGGCGCGGTGGCCGCGCCGCTGCTGGAGCTGATGTGCCTCAAGGCGCCGTCGGGCCGTCGGGGCGATTTGGTTCGGGGCTTCGCGGCTTTGGACGTTCGGAACGTTGGGCCCGGCTTGGGACGGATGGCTGGGCTTGAAGGGCCCGCCTTTCGCACGGATGGGTTTGTGAGATACCTGAAAGACTCAGAACACGCATCTTAACTTTGTGGGGTGAACAAGGGTGGAGTTTCGGGATTGGAGCCACCAAAAGTTGCATAGACTTTTTGCGGAGGGGTTAAAAAGGTACCCAAGCCATGTGGAGCATACTTCGGGATATCCGATGGATCCCCTGTGCCTCAGCGAGAAACCACCGGGTGCAAAGTGGATAGTCCCACAGCTGCTCACAATTGCTTTGGGAACCAATTTGATTCTGTTTAAGCCACAATGTAAAGGGCAACTTGAGGATGTCACTTCAATGGAGCCAGTCATTTTCCCAGATCAATCCTGCAAAAACTCCTTGCCACTCACATCGCTCAGGTGGCCTGGGGTAGCTACGTCACGCGGGATCACTTCTTTGCGCCAGCCTCATTTGTCTCTTTCGTTTTCTTTTTTGCATTGCAGGGTGGGCGAGAACCAGCGGTGTAACGAAAGGCTTCCTTGTTGCCCATCGGGGCCCTGTTGCGGACGCGTTGCTTTGGGTTGTGCGAGTGAACTGGAAGCCTCCTCGAACATGCTTGATGGACTCAGTGTTCCGTGGGTACATTCGATTTTACATGATATCCACTAGAAGGTTCCTGATGAAGATTCGCATCTAAGGAGATCTAACAAAGAGCAGGCAGAGAGTCGCCAGCAGCCGCCAGCAGCTGCTGGCTGCACGGACGCAGGTCCTGTCATAGTAGTGGAGGTGTTGCAATTCAAGAAGGGGTAGCGCATGGCCTCGTGGTTTGCGAGTCACATCAGGGTCTCCAGGCGAAAGAGCTCATTTGTATTGGACACTGCGTGGCTTTGGTTTATCCTCTCATCGTCAAGCCTGGGTGGTTGCGCGGGCCCTTTTTGTTTGGCAGGAGGTTTTGATGGGCAACGCCCTAGAAACCCAGTTCTAGGTTGCCAGTTTCTGTGAGACCGAGAGGCCGTAAAGTGATAAAGTAGTGGGATTGGAACTTTCCAAAGATTTGGAGGGTAATTCAGGGCGACCCCTGTTCTACAAGGTTGGGGCCAACCTGTTTTAAGCATGTGTAAACACCAATTGTTTCAGATTTGAAGGTGTCTTTCAAGGTGCTGACCTGGTAAATTTTGGCTAACCCTGAGGGAACGAAAAAGACAGAGTCGCTCAATCGATTCAGCAAGGTACCGGGGCCGAGCTATGGGCGCTTGGGGGCCCAAGCAGGGGGTTCAGGGGGGGGGGATGCTCGACTTGGCCTTCTTGGATCAGGTGATGTCGAACCTCCAAAAGAGGTTTTTTTTTTTTTTTTTTTTTTTTTAAATGCCGGACCCCCGTTTGGTTGATTTGAAGGGATGCCAAAAGGAATCCGTTGTCATTTCCGGGGACGGCATCCTATTTGGAGAACTTTGCTGGCCCCATTGCCGATCTCCAAGATCTCCAAGCGAGGGTTGGGCATGCATCAGGCAACCCTATCTGGGTTTGCGTTCATAGGGGAACACTTAAAGTGGGGGTGGGGGGCGGGGGGAGGGGGTTGTTTGGCTTCCCTTTGATCAAGCCTGACAAGGGCAGCGGGGCTCAAAAGGCACAAGCCCGTATTTCCATTTCGGGCTGAATAACCTCTGGGTGGGGTGATGTTTCAAGGAGACCTACACGGAGCTTGCATGGATTCGTCCAGGGCCCGGGGGAAGTCGCGGGCGGCTCGTTCTGTGTCACCCTTTGGCCTTCCGGAGTAGTCATGGCTTTTTTTCCCGACCAGTTCGCGTGGTTCACCATTGCAAGGGTGCTTGCGAGAGACGACAAAACAGCACTATGGGCCCAGTGGGATGGTTCGGCAGGCCACGTATCACCGTTTCTCACGGGTTGTGCAGTGCTTCACTTGAAAGTGGCAACGCATGCTTCGGCCAACCTTCATCTTCTTACCTTTCCAAGCTCATGCTTTTGTGTTTGATGGGATTTGCCGTCCCTTTGTCAATTGGGCATAGAGTCATGGCTCCCACTTTACCAATTTGTTGAACGAACAGTTCCACTCAACTAGACACCTGGCACAAACATGGAACAAATGCTGTCCCTGCTAGGCCGCTGTGAGTCATGAGTTTGTTACAATTCCCTCCCCAGTTCTCCAATCAACACTTAGCGTTGCTTTCCGCGTTTGGGGCAGTTTCGGCTCTAGCCTGACGCGACCGGTGCAGACAATTCGGCACACCATGCCGTGCCCATTTCGAGCGGGAGACACTGTGCACCTCGGCGGCTTGGGGGGCGGGCTGCGGGTTGGAGGCTGGGGATGGCGGGGGCGTTCTCAGGATGCCCAGGAGGGCGCCGCTTAGACCCCCGCCAAAGACCACACACAATCACAACCAAACCACTCAGCTTTGAGTGGGCCGATTGCTCAAGAAGGTGGGAAGGACCGGCAACAGGCATCTTAGTCATTAGTGATTGGGGATGCCTTTGGTGGGTTTGTAGATGGCTCATCCTGTATGCAGATGGCTCATCCTGATTTTATTCTGGGAGTTTCTCTCAACAGTGGAGCCCCTTTAGTTGGTTTTTGATGGGAAGCCAGCCACCCGTTTTAGGGACCACTTTTTAGAGATTCTCCCAATGGACATAAATATGTCACAAATGTCATCCGAAGGCTTGAAGAGTTTGACTCCCAATGCAAAAAGGCACCCTCACTTTCTGCTTTCTCGTATCTTTCACGCAAGTTTGTAAGACAAACAAACAAACGCATCGGGGCCCCTGAGCACTGAGTGCGGGCAATTGAGGGAGTTGGGGTGGTGGCCAAGTGGGTGGGTGTGGGTGGGTGTGGGTGGGTGTGGGTGGGTGTGGGTGGGTGTGGGTGGGTGTGGGTGGGTGTGGGTGGGTGTGGCTGGGTGTGGCTGGGTGTGGCTGGGTGTGGCTGGGTGGGTGGGTGGGTGGGTGGGTGGGTGGGTGGGTGGGTGGGTGGGTGGGTGGGTGGGTGGGTGGGGAGGGGGGGTTGTTTCGTAAGGAACCCGTTTCGGTGCCGCCGATTCCCGCCAGCACGAAAGGGACAAACACGGGCAACTAATTTTGACAACCCCATGTGTTTTTCCTTTGTTTTGGAGTTTTAAAACCTGCCATGGGCAATCCCCAAGAGAAGGACCTACATCACGGTGAGCTCGGTTTAGCAGCCCGCCTTGAAATATGGTAGCTAGACGTGGTTCAAGGGCAGCTCCTGCATCCATTCCAAGAATTCGCCATTCCAGAAAAGCACCGGAGACCAAAAGAAACGGCAAAGAACGAGGGTAGAGCAGACTTTGGACTCCAGAAGCTGGTTTCGTCAACTCACGCATGGCGCATGCCGCGCAGAGACACCAGGTTGACCCCGGAAAAGGACGTAAAAGTTTCAGCACGCCGCAGCATGGAAGGCTAGAGCTGGGGAGGCGAAGCTGTCACCATAGACTGAGATACTATTATATATTACACGTGTATATTATTAAGAGCCGCAAACATATTATCATAATTCCCTCAACCCAAATTAGAAGATATAAACAATAACAGTATAATATGTGCGGATGAGGTACACCTTCAACACTGCCACGGAGCTCTACGACCAAGAGGCCCATGTCACCCAGGTCCTGACGTCCGAGCAGACCTATGGGAGCATGGCGCCTGAGATTCGAAAATTTGTCGCTCAACAGGCGTCTGTGGAGTGGACTCCGGAAGCCAGACGATTCTGGGGGTCAGGGGTTGAAAGGGGCGCAAGATATGGGCGTGGAATTTGTGAGGATGGCCTTTTTGAGGCTGTCTTTTGACCCTTTTGTCTCCTCCAAAGCTGCTTTATATTGTAGGGTGGGCTAAACATGGAACGGAGTCAGAGGATATTACATTCTGTGTATCAGGCCAAGTTATGTTCGGCATTAAATGCGAAGGAGTGCTCCCCACTGCGGCCACAAAGGGCCCCGGTCGATTTGGTGGTAGCCTTCCAGGAAAGACGAGAGAAACTAGGGATAAGGGACAGTTCTGGAGGGCAGAAGGCCCTTCTGAAGTCATTTTGGTTTGGGGAAGCATCACAGGCAGGGTTGTTGGGGTTCTGGGGTTTGGCGCCGCCAACGCAGGAAAGAGGGGCAGTGCGGCCTGCCAGAACGAACCGATTTTCCTGAGCAAAGAACGTACGTGGAGGTGGACAAATTTGTCATGTTCACGGAGCTTGTGACGGGTTTCATGTTCGTCGGTAGGAAGGTACATCGAAGGAGCCTCCGAGCAACGGGTTCAGTGGTTGACGTTGCAAGCAGATAAGCCCGGCCACTTTCTTGATAGGACTGTCGTGGGGTACCTCTAAGGCCAGGGCTAGGAAAAGGACTCATTGGTCTCGTACCTCGTTTTGGGCGAGCCAACCGGGGTTACAGATTTACTAAGAAACAGGAATGCAGGAGCACCTCCAAGTCAGAAAACAATGAGGGGTTGGGCAAAGTTTTTCTAGACATCTGCACCGTGGCATTCACTGGTTTACCAGTTGCATGGCGTGGATTTTGCAACCGTCCACGGGACCTTGGCGCTGTAACCTTTAGGTTAGTCGGAGAATGTATCTTTCCCCACAAGCAGACAACAAGTCAGCTCAAGCAGGTTTGTACTGGCAGCACGTTACCCCAAAAAATAGAGCGCTGCAAGTAAGGGCACGAGGGAACCCCCTTTTGCCGCAACCTACCATAGTTTTGCAGAGTCCTCAAAATCCACCAGAATTGGCAAGAAAAAAGAAGCCAGCACCATGCGGTGGGACAATCCGCAAGTTGGCTTTGTTGCGTTGTTCTTGGTGGATTGCGAGGACCCTGTTTTCGGGGTTGAACTCTGGGCTTTGGGCAAGCTGAGGTGTTGCCGGCAGGCTCACTGGCGGTGTCCTCCCAGGAGGGGGTGACCATGTGGATCATCGAGGCGCACATAGGCGGGATCGGGGCCGCGGGCCCCGGGGAACAAGTCCCAGCGATGCAGGTGAACCCAAACAAAATCTTCGGGTTCCTCAAAGGATTAGGCCGCGAAATGATGACCGCTGGAATCAATCTGTGCAAGAGACGCTCTAGTGGGGTTACATGTTAGTGGTAGGGTAATCATTTCTGTGACACGCTTGCCTGGTGAGCAGGCCTTTGAGGAAGCTTGGTGCCAGGGCAAGCGGAGGGCCCCTTTGGACAAAAATGGAACCAACGGTCTGTCGCCTGGCCATGGGAACCGGTCAGACTTCCGCTTTTGTTTCTTTTTGGGGTGTGTGTGCGCGAGAGTTAGCACAGTGAGAAGCTTTCGGCATTCCCTTGGCCAGGAGGTCCCAACTCAAACGAACTCTTCAACTCCACTCCCCCCAGCCGCCATGGCCGCGACCCATCATTGGGGATGGGGGGCGGGTTGCAAGTTGGCGTCAGGCATGATGCTCCGCAGGGAGAAGCAGGCAAGAGCGTGCGGCACCTGTGCTTGAGCCGTTGTGGGCCAGCGCTCGGCAAAGGCCGCCAATTATCCCACCTAGAGGCTGTTTTGACCTACAACTTGACAGGAAACCACACATTTTAGTGCTTCCCCCTATTCTTGAGACAGCGCCCTACGTACCCCCACAAGCTTTTGAAGGGCCTGAGCGGCCCTCCTGGAAGCTCCCAACCCCAGTGAGTCCAGTTGGGACAGCCAGCCCGTCCGCCGACGTGTGACACAGCCTGCGCCAGATGACCGCCAGCTGCGAGAGAGCCTGTGACAGAGAGATGTGACCGGCAGCAGCTTGTGCAGGACAGCTGTGATAGTCCGAAGCCTGAGGTGGCCGGGTCGGGACTCCGAAGACTGAGGCGTGGAGCAAGCAATGAATTTGTTCAGGCTGCAGATGTGAAAAATGTTTGCAAGCGATCCTAATTTGCCACAAGGTACGCCTTCCCGGGAGCTTTGCTTGTTGCGCTGCTTGGCTGCGTGTCCTCTGTGCTCAAAGATGGAGCGGGTTGGCCGCTCGTTTGGTCCATGCGCCAGCGGCGCATAACCATCGCATAACCGCGTCTAGATAGCACACGCGTCTCACGCAGGATAAAGCGTGCAGCGTAGAATTTTTTTGGCGTTTTGGCAGCTTGTGATCCAGCTATCAGATGATGTGTCCTTGCAACAGCTTGCCAGAAGAATTGGAATGCCCCGGATGAAAGGGATCTCCAAATAGGAAGCGTGGTTTCGGCAGCAGCTTTGGCTGCCATTGAGTAGGGGTTGACTTGGCCTTGGTTCCATTTTGGTTTGACTGAGTTTCTTCGCCAGTCAGTAGCGTGCATGCAGTCCTATTCGTTTTTTGGCGCCTGTGCGGTTGCAGCCGGGTTAGCCAGGCCAAAGGGAAAGCCGCAATTGTAGGGGCCCGGTTTAAGACACACTGGAGGATGAAATTAGGTCCCCACCCGTTGAAGAAGGGAAAGTGGCGAAGGGTTACCAAGGCTTGCCTGGGATCCATTGTGCGGGTAAGATTCAGGGGCCCAGTTCGGGGGGTCCATTTCCAATATGTTTTTCAAAAATCGAAAGTTGGATGTGTTGTGTGTTCGAGTTCGATGGATTCAAACATCTTCCCCCGACCGCCAGGAAGGTGTTCCGAAGGCAGCTGACACAGACGACCAGCCGAAGACGGAGGAGCAGGAGGAGGAGTTCAAGGATGCCAAGGAAACGAAGGACGGATAGATCAGCATGGTGGATTTTGGTTGGGGGACTGCAGGGAACACCACAGCCTTGGTGGCATATCTGGACACTGCACCTATTTGGGGGATTCTTGTTGTATGAAGACACTGCTGGGGTCTGGGGGACTGCGAACCAGTCCAGGACAAGTCGGGCTATGCAGCGAACCCAACGTTTCAGTCCATGCAGCTGGGCGAGCATGTGAAGACACAGTTAAAGTATTTGTTTGTTTTCTGGCGAGCTCACCGACCTGCGCGCAAACCGGGCGAGACACCATGCAGGCCCTTTACCATGCAGGCCCTTGACCAGGTTTTGGAATTCGTGCAATATCTCATCCCCGTAACGCGGGGACATGGGCAAGCTAGTGAGTCACCCGGCCTCCTACGAAGTACAAAGCCTTGTGAGTTCTCTCCAACGTCCCTCTCAAATCAGGGACTACGGGATATGTTGACCGCACCTCATGTGTAGACCCCGAGGGCTCAATTAACTACTGCACTCGTGCCTTGTTTGAATGGAAGAACTCCGTCTTCCAGGTATTTTGATCCGTTTAAGTCAGTGCTTCCTCCCCTTGTTTCCTCTAGTTTCTGTTTCCTTGAGTGGGGCAACCCCCCCCAGAGCGCCCTGGTGCCTTGCTTGCTTCCGCTTCTTTGGGTGGAAGTAACCCCCTGCAGTCAGCAAAGGCCGCCCTTTCTATAAAGGGCAAAGGAGCCGAAAAAAGAGGCCGCGAGTTTATGGCCCTCAATCTTGGGCAAGATGCGGCGCGCTACTTCCATTTTCCTTAGACCCTGCGCAAGGCTGTTGCAAGGTTATGCTGGCACTTCAGGTTTTGTTTCGGGCAATTGGGCAAACAAAACCTAAATAGAGGGCCCACCAGAATCAACCAATGCAGCTCAGCATTTGCGAGTCCATATTCTGCAAGGAGGCTGATCAAGGTGGACTTGTTGTCCACCTCATTCCCTGCTCACAGGGCACAAGTGAGGGGAAGGCTTCCATATCTTCCCCAATGAGAGCCCATTTGATGACTCATTCCCTGGTTGACGAATAGGCGTGCGATGGCGCGTGCCCCAGTTTCAAGAGCGTCCGGATCACTCTTGGGCCATTCTTGGGGGAACCTCCCCACAGATGAATCTGGGGTCAGCATTCGAAAGCCGTTTGGATCCGTTTGCGGGTTCTTCCAGGCTGGGTCAGTGTTTGACGACATGTGTTGCCCTGCTGGGAGAAATCCACTCCTAAGGGTTGAGCCAAGCAACAGGAATGGAAGCAGCAAAGCCTGCAATCCCCACACAACGCCCCAGTTGTTTTCATCGCTCGTTTTCCACTTCCTTTGTCGTTTTCTTACATATATATATATATATATGTAAATATTATCTTTTCTGGTGTTGTGTCTGTTTGTCCAAAAAAACAAAAACATTTGTGGACTGCACTATTTTTTTCCCATTTGACGGCGTTGTGGTTGTTGCCGAGCCCGGGGAGGGGCTTTCGCGCCGAGGTTCGGTGCCATGTCCTCGTTCTTCGGGCTCTCAAAGGACGCCAAAGACAAGGACGGAGCTCTGAGCCGTTGCGTAGAGCTCAAAGCCAGGGTTGGAGTTTCGAGGGGATAGCCGACAGGGTCGAGCGTTGTTGCACACGCACGCACCTAAACAGTCAGCAAGCAAGTTGTTGTCCTCCTGGGTCTTCCAGAACGGGAAACAGTCACTTAAACTTCAGGCTCGGAGACTTCTTCTTCCTTGAAGGTCCCAGTGAAAATTCCTGGAGTCTTCATGAGTCTTCAAACTCCTGGTTTCTGACAATCAACTGGAAACAAATGTTCACTCCTGGAAATAACATGCAACACCCTGAACTCCTAGAACTCTCTAAGACTGCATGGTTCTGGGCGGCCAATGAGAGGATGTTTTGTGTCCTGGTTTATGTATATTTCCAGGCTTGCGGCTTGATGACCTCAAGACACAGGCCACGAGGTTTGATGACCAACCACATGTTCGGTTTCTGAACGGAGAAGAATCGGCGAATCTCTTATGGCGCTGGAATCTAAAGGTTGTATTGAAGCGCAGGACGGAGCACAACAGATGCACGAAAACCCGTTTTGACTTGTTGGGCGCAGGATTGCATTGTTATTTGACCTTTGTTCACGTTCATACTGACATCTTGCTTGGCCCATTCCAAAGACGCACTTCGATCTGCGCCAGTTCTTACCCTCCCATAGCCATGGCAACCCATTTAGACCCATTCAGACCCATTCAGACTTGCCCAGTCAGACTTCAAAAGAGAAAACGCACTCCCAAAACTCAGCGTAACTCGCGCCCAAAGCCCCCTAACTCGCCAAAAACCAGCAAACTCCCGCACATCAAGAAAGTGGAGATTCCGGAGAACTGGTTGGGTCAGAGGGATTGAAATACCTTGGCAGGATGCAATTAGCACTGTATGGTGAACCTTGTACTGTGCTGTCAATGAAGGTGGCAACATGTTGGGAGACTGCATGGCTCAGTTGCAAGGTTGGAGGTTTCATTCAAGGGTTCGTACATGGTGTGAGATCACGCCCCCTCTGGCAGAGCATGCGCAAAGGGCGCTGGGATGCTAGCATTTATTCAGATGCCGTACGGTGCCAGATGTATCTTTGATGCCATCGGTCGAAGATGCTTCGAGTCCGGAAAGTCTGAGTAGCGTCTTACCTAAACAGCCGGTGCTGAGTTCCTTGCTCTTGAGCCTGGTGTCAGTCACCATGTTTAAAGCCACTGCTAGCTTTTGACGCGCACTCCTACTTTTCATGGGTCACTCCTGCTTATTGAATTGGCCGCTCAAGCACTGGGACGGAACAACCGTGGAATACCACGGAGATGGAAGATCCAGGCTTTGTTTACCGTGAGGAGCAACTTATGGTTGAACTATCGAGGGTTCCATGTGTGTCCAGGCTGCACATATCGAACATCTCGAATATTTGCCCGAAAGTAACTCAAGCCATGCGGGCATGTGCCAAAATAGAGGGACCCCCCAAATCTTGTGGTTGTCCTTTTGTTTTCCCTTCAAACTAACCTACAATGGCCTGACTGGCGCAGGAGGTCCGCCGACCGAGCGATAGCGCCGCAAGCGCCGCAAGCGCCCCGGCCGCCGCAAGCGCCCCGGCCGGCCGCAAGGCGGCAGCAGCGCTGGAATCCAAGGACGGGGTTCCTCGAAGTCTGGGGGTGACCTTGTGCTTGGGTAGGGGGAGTCTCCAGCTGGACTTTGGGGGGGGGGGAAAAAATAGTAAAAGGAGAATTCAAAGAATTATTCTTTCTACTATTTTTTTTCCAACAGCAACACAACAAACAGAAAACAAAATCCAGAACAACAAGCAAACAAAATAAATAATCACAACCAGCAACAAAAATATTTAATCACAGCATGCAACATTAAATAATTCAAACAAGCATGCCAACAAAACAGCAACACTCTAAATCATCAAAGAACCCAAACTCAAAAACACACATCAACAAAAATCAAAGCAACATACCAACAAAAAATATCACAAGAGCATCAAACAAAACAAAAACAAACAGCCAAAGCACGAAAAAATTGAAGAAGCATGCCAAGTCTAAACAACGCACTTTGAAAGAGATAAGCAAATTATAATAATTCAATCTTTACAAACGATAAATATATTACAATTATAACATATAATATTTTACATGTTATTATTATAGTATGATTATAATTTCAGTACAGGATAATAATTTAATTGATTTGTCTTACTTCTTTCATACATCATTTTAAAAATAATATTAATATCTCCCAATGTATTTTGAACATTAAAATTTTTACTTTCAATAAATAATTTGATATTTTCTTTAACATCTTCTCCTTTCTCTTGACTATAACACAACATCCTTAATATATCATCAATCATACCATATTTTTTCTTAGGGATTTTAAGAAACTGTTTAATATAATCGTAAGGTGGTATTTTATTTACAGTTAGAAATATTAAAATCTCATCTTCTACATTTCTATTATGTCTCCCTTTTATTCTCAACAGACATTTGATTAAAACTTGATTATCTCTCCATTCCTGACAAATTTTACATTCATCTTCTTCATCCATTGAATAATTAATAATATTATTCAATATTTTATTAGGTAAATTTAATTTATACAATTCCATATTTTCTTTTTTGAAGTGACAACAATCATGGCATTTTTTATTGATATAATTATTGATTTTATCACCGTTCATTACTATCTTAATATATTAAGTCAATATTTCTTTAAGTCGTTTTCAAAGAATTTATTTTATAATGACCGTAAGCAAGTGAGTTTATACTATCTAACCAATATTTTTTGTTTTCATAACTACTAAGAGCAATTTTTTTAGTTGTTATACTAAAAATTCTGTGGTTTTTACTTCTAATACTATTAAATGACTTATGTATAACCTCATTAGTTTTTAAAACCGTCTCAAACTCTTCATATTTCATTTGACGTCTTACTGTGCCTTTTGCTATTCCCTTACATTTCTTATATTTTTTATCATCACCATAAACTGAGTAAGCATAGCATTTAGGACGAAGAGCTATAAACCCTGTCATTATTTTACTTTTTAATTCATCCTTAAATTTACCTAATACTTTCTTGTTATTATCATCATAACATTTATGTTCCTTAGGATAATCTGAAAAATCTAATTCTTTTTTAATTGAATTAAGGTCTTCATAAATGTCATTGGTTTTAGTATGAAATACAAAACTATCAGTATCAGTATATACCATTTTAATATTATCTCCATATTTAGGTTTCATAACGTCATAATAAAATTTATACATGTGTTGCTTACTCAAATCTAAAATACTCATCCCAATAAATATAGGTTTGTCTAGTTTCAACTTTGTTTTTTGCTTTTCAACTCCAACCAAATTTTCATTAATGATATGACTATGTTTGAAGTTAGGATTACTTACACACTTCATATATCTAGTTTCATCACTCACAACCTCAAAATCTAAATGTTTCCTTTTATCCTCCATTGTTTTTCCAAATATGGCATTGTTCATCAATTTGTAAACATCTTTCTCAAAATCATTTCTAGCATTCTTCCTCTTCTCAGTGTTAAACTCAATGTAAGGTTTTAAAACTTCTTTTTGTTCAAATTTAATTGCTCTATGAATTTTCTTAAGTTTTAACCCTTGCTTCAAATAAAATTGCAAGGTTCTTATATGGATTACATATTTTTCTTTATCATTTAAGTTCAATATTAATTTATTTGTTTTCTCATCCGTAGGTTTTTTATGATTTAAAAATTCATAAATTTCAATTTGTTTATCTGACAGCATGTCGGCTTTAACATTCATAACCTCAGGTGCCATTGGATAGTCATTGTGTAAATCGTGTAATTCTTTAGGATATTCTAAATCCACTTCTAGAATATATCCAATATTATTATTTTTGTAATTAATAATGTCTTCTTCTTTTAATGTATCATCCCATTTTAGATTTTTATATGGCAGTTTTTGTATCATGCTTAACCCGTACAAATTATTAGCATCAAAATAGTTAATATAACTACTTTCTTTATTTTTATCATATTCTTCTCCCATGTATTTATTATTTGCTTCAACTTTTTTAGTAGAAACCATACACATCCCGCCTCTAAGTCCCGCTTCTATCATTTCATACATTTCTTGGTCATATATTAAATCAATCTCTACACCAGTCATTTTAAGCATAGCATCAAAAGCAAAGTTAGGCAATGTATAATAATAAGCAGGGTCCAATCCATAATATTTCATACATACATCTCTAAAATTTTCGAAAATGTCAGTCAATAATAATACATCAGTTTTCAAATATAAATCATGGTATTCACCCATATTCTTAATGTCGAAATGCTTCCATATAATTTTTGCCCTTTCATAGTCGTTAACACTTATACCTTCTTCACTCAACTGACTATAAAAATCATCCTTACTCGGTAATTGCTCATCATCAAATTTATCAAATGAATTCATGTAGTCATAAGGATAAACACCTTTATCAGTTAATAAATCTAGACATTTCTCACTCTTAATCACATCATTTTTACTACTGAACCTAAAATTATCTTTCCAGTTTTCACGCAATAACCATTTACTTTTATCTTCTTCATCTGTATTATCATACTTACTCATTGAAACTAACTTATCTAATGAAGCAGTTAAAAACCCAAAAGTGTCTTTAACACTCAAACTTTCAAAACTGATATTAATAAATTTTTCACTGTTCTGAGCGATGACACCTATTTTATTGTTGTTACTTAATTTATCAGCATTTTGAATAATTAAATGACCGTCATAATTTTTCATGTTATGAAAGAATACTGGAATTTTAAAATATCTATTACAAAAATTAAGATTGCAAACATTATGAGCACAACCTCTATACTTACCTGTAAAATGACAATGGTCTCTAACTTTTCTATATTTCTCTGCTTCCTTGGCATTTTTATAGTTCATTCTAAACTTATCCCCACAAATAAAGCAGTTTTTAGCATTTTTAAAATCTTCTTTGTCTTCGTCAGTCATGTCTATTTTTTTGTTTTCTCCCATCTTCTCCTTTACTTCTGTCCTAATCTCATTAAGTTTTTGACAAAACACATCAACAGCATCTTTACCACGATACATAAATTCATAATTTGTATTATCAACAGCATTAACCATATTAAGCATAAAACCACATGGTTTATGCTCTTGATAAGAAAAAGTGTTTTTATCTTCATCTTCATCAGGCTTTTTCAGTTCCTCTGTCAAACATTCAAAATCAGCATATACAACAAAAGGACATCTTAACTTTTTGAAGTGATGCTTAAAACTAACTTTCTCATAAGGCTTAGGCATTACTATTTGTTGTCCTTCAACTTCCATGCATCCACTATCATAATGTTTATTTAATAATTCTTCATTTCTAAATCCATGATTACAATATTTACAAAAATAGGACTTACCATTATGATTACTTTTTTGATTATTAATAAGTCTGCTCAAACTTTTTATATACACATAATGACTGCAATCCTCCTCATCAACTCTCAACAAATCAAGATGACAAGAAGCATCTTTATTTTTCAATTTTCTACTAATAACAATTTGTTCATTATCATCAATTTCATAAACATTAATGGATATTGATTTATTATTTTCTTCAAATATATCTATATCATTATTATTAGCAGGAAAACTCACACCATCAAAAATCAAATCACTTGCTATCTTCTTGTAATGAAACATCTTTTCAGGGTGTGCTTTATCACAAATTTTACAATATCCACACTCAATAGAATATTTAAAACACTTGTCATCTTGATTTTTAATATTGATACATGCCTTTTTCTTTTTAATCCATTCTGGAAGTTCAATATATTTGCCAGCTCTAGTCGGATTATATTTATTATACATGATATGAATATTATTAATATTGCTAATTATTAATCCTGACTGATACAAAGCCATATCTAAAATTCTTGTTTCAACATCAGGTCTCATTCTTTTCAAAGCATTCCTTAAATCCTCTTCATTTACAATAGTGTACGACCTTGTCCTAACTGTTACGTTTCTCTCCTCATCAAATAAGTTCATAACTTTCATATTTATTGTAGCATTAAGTTTCATTCCTCTATTCTCTTTCAAGTATTCATTAAGTTTGTCAAATTGATAATTAAAATAAGTCAATCCGTTCAACTCTTTTAAATGAATGTTTGAAATTGTGTAGGCGTTAGCATATGCTCTAAAGGCGCTTCTTTCTTCTGTTATTACTGCTTTTTTCTTAATAGCATGTTTTAAAACCGTTCTTGCTCCTACTCTTTCTCTGATTTGATTTGCTTTGTAGTCATTAGTTTTCTTTACTGCTTCAAGTCTCTTACTCAATCTATTGCTTATTGGTTTTTCTGGATTATATCTATACTGATTGTTTCCTATAATTATGGTTTTAAGTTTTTTACCTTTATTATTTACTTTGTATTCTCCTAAATTTTCTTTAAGAAGATACTTAACTATTTTAGTGTTTTCATCTGGCGGTAAATCTCTATTCATATTATTATCTATATAATTTAATTAGGTTTTTTCTCTTTAAGTCTTTTTAAAGTCATAAAATTCTAAGAACTAAATAACTAATTATTAGTCTAAATTATTTTAATTTTCAATTAATAATTCATGAA